CGTAATACGCCACGCCTTGCTCGCCAGGCCAGATTCATCGTACGAATCTGGCCCATGCCAACGCACACGCAGTTTAGAGTGCGACTGCCAATCAGGGCCGACTGTCGTGCTAGCCACGACGCAGTAAAACCACAAACGGGGCAAGATTCCTTGCCCCGTACGCATGGACCTCACCACATCAGCTCCTCTGCGGGAGATCTTGACTGTTTCTCCCCTTAGCCTGCAGAGGGAACTGGGCCGCGAAGTTGGAGGGGTCTCGGGCAAGGGTTTCAAACATGCTTCATTCTCCCTGTTTTTTTCAGATTTTTGTTTCCCATCGGCCTGCCTTAGCTATGGCGGGCCAACCAGGCACCCATTTCCTCTTTAAGCGCCGAGGTGCTGCTGACAAAGCTCCCGATTACTCCCAGTGGCAGAGTCGTCCAGCGCCAATACCTCCTGCTCCTCCTGCGCCTCCTGCTCCTCCTGCGCCTCCTGCACCTCCAGCGCCTCCTGCTCCTCCCGCTCCGCCTATCGTCGTCATCAACGGTGTGCCATTCTGCAGCTTCTCCTCGTGGCTACTCTGCTTTCGATGCGTACATCTCCGAGCCCGAGCACGAGCCCGAGCGCAGCGACGAAGAGGAAACCGGTCCGGTCTTCGCCACGTTGGGGAGACCCGGAAGACTGCCCGCACGACGAATCCGCCACCGGTGCCGAAGACGATGTTGAGTGGTGGGCGGCGACGGTCTTCCCGAGGACTTGCCCTGTCCCAAGTTTTCCCCGCCCAATAAAAAAGGCCCCACCCCTGCACCCAGAGTCGTGATTCCCGCCCCCCGTCTCCAGGAGCAGGCGCTCAAGGCACAAGCGGCACTCCTATACTTCTCAGGAGAAGCTGCACTGGATTTCACAGCTGGAGTCCGGTGCCGTGAGTATGCGGAAGATGGCACGCGACTCTGGTATCTCCCGAAAGTCCCTCGCAGTATGGAAATCGCGGAAGGGTGAGCTGGAGGGCGCGCATGGGCTCGCAAGCGTCTTCACGGGCGGGGTCGGTCGTCGTGGTATCGCGACATGGAGATCCAGGTCTACTCACGAGTACTTGCCGCCCGGAAAAAGTGCCTCGCAGTGTCGGTCGGCCGCCTGCAGCAGTGGTCGCGAGAGGTGATGAAGAGCCTGCATCCTGAGGTAAAGTGGGCGGGATCTCAGAGGTGGACTGAGCGTTTTCGGCGCCGCTGGAATCTCACTACCCGAGCTAAGACCCGTGTCGGCCAGAAACTATCCTCCGGTGAGTGGGCTTTTGAATTCGCTCTTGTTTATCCCCTTTGCCAACCGGTCGATAGTTAATGTTTTTTTTATGGTTTCTGCCTCCCCGTCCCTTCCAGAGTGCGAGACGCAAGTGCGAAACTTCTGGAAGTTCGTGCGACACACCCGCCGACAGTCCGGAATCGACAACCGCTGGATCATAAATGCTGATCAGACCCCGCTCTGGCTCGAAATGCCAGCTGAACGCACTGTCGAGGAGGTGGGGGTCCGCTCCGTGCCCATCCGCAGCGGCGGCTATCAAAGAGAACGCGTGACGGTGATGCTTGCGTGCACCGCCAGCGGCGAGAAGCTCAAGCCCTGGGTGTTCTTTAAGCGCAAGACAGTTCCAAAGGGGAATTTCCCCTCCGTAAGCCGAGCAGCTTGTGCAGTCCGGTAGCATTTGAATGTGTTTTTTTTTTTTCTGATGTCAATCTCAACGTTGTGCGGATGTGCAGATGTGCAATTTTGCACAAGCTAGGCCTTGTTCTTGCAATTTTGCAAAGCTAGGCCCTTGTTCTTTTTATTTTGCACACGCTAGCCCTTGTTCTTTTATTTTGCACACGCTAGGCCCTTGTTCTTGCAATTTTGGCATGCTAGACCCTTGTTCTTTTTATTTTGCACACGCTAGGCCCTTGTTCTTGCTATTTGGCGAATGCTAGGCCCTTGTTCTTGATTTTTTTGCACACGCTAACCACTTGCTCTTGCTATTTTGCACTCGCTAGGCCCTTGTTCTTGCAATTTTGCACACGCTAGGCCCTTATTCTTGCGATTTTGCACACGCTTGGCCCTTGTTCTTTTTATTTTGCATACGCTAGGCCCTTGTTCTTTTTTTTTTGCACACGCTAGGCCCTTGTTCTTGCTATTTCGCGAACGCTAGGCCCTTGTTCTTGATTTTTTTTCACACGCTAGGCCCTTGCTCTTGCTATTTTGCAATCGCTAGGCCCTTGTTCTTGCAATTTTGCACACGCTAGGCCCTTGTTCTTGCAATTTGCACACGCTAGGCCCTTGTTCTTTTTATTTTGCACACGCTAGGCCCTTGTTCTTTTTATTTTGCACACGCTAGGCCCTGGTTCTTGCTATTTTGCATACGCTTTGCCCTAGTTCTTTTTATTTTGCACACGCTAGTCCCTTGTTCTTGCAGCACACACTAGGCCCTTGCTCTTGCTATTTCGCGAACGCTAGGCCCTTGTTCTTGATTGTTTGCACACGCTAGGCCCTTGCTCTTGCTATTTTGCACTCGCTAGGCCCTTGCTCTTCCAATTTTGCACACGCTAGGCCCTTGTTCTTTCAATTTTGCACACGCTAGGCCCTTGTTCTTTTTATTTTGCACACGCTAGGCCCTTGTTCTTTTTATTTTGCACACGCTAGGCCCTTGTTCTTGCAATTTTGCACATGCTAGACCGTTGTTCTTTTTATTTTGCACACGCTAGGCCCTTGTTATTGCTATTTCGCGAACGCTAGGCCTTTGTTCTTGATTTTTTGCACACGCTAGGCCCTTGCTCTTGCTATTTTGCACTCGCTAGGCTCTTGTTCTTGCAATTTTGCCCACGCTAGGCCTTGTTCTTGCAATTTTGCACACGTTAGGCCCTTGTTCTTTTTATTTTGCATACGCTAGGCCCTTGTTCTTTTTATTTTGCACACGCTAGGCCCTTGTTCTTGCTATTTTGCACACGCTATGCCCTTGTTCTTTTTATTTGCACACGCTAGGCCCTTGTTCTTGCAATTTTGCACATGCTAGACCCTTGTTCTTGTTATTTTGCACACGCTAGGCCCTTGTTCTTGCTATTTCGCGAACGCTAGGCCCTTGTTCTTGATTTTTTGGACACGCTAGGCCCTTGCTCTTGCTATTTTGCAATCGCTAGGCCCTTGTTCTTGCAATTTGTACACGCTAGGCCCTTGTTCTTTTATTTTGCACACGCTAGGCCTTTGTTCTTTTTATTTTGCACACGCTAGGCCCTTGTTCTTGCAATTTTGCACATGCTATACCCTTTTTCTTTTTATTTTGCACACACTAGGCCCTTGCTCTTGCTATTTCGCGAACGCTGGGCCCTTGTTCTTGATTTTTTGCACACGCTAGGCCCTTGCTCTTGCTATTTTGCACTCGCTAGGCCCTTGTTCTTGCAATTTTTGCACACGCTAGGCCCTTGTTCTTGCTATTTTGCACACGCTATGCCCTTGTTCTTTTTATTTTGCACACGCTAGGCCCTTGTTCTTGCAATTTTGCACATGCTAGACCCTTGTTCGTTTTATTTTGCACACGCTAGGCCCTTGTTCTTGCTATTTCGCGAATGCTAGGCCCTTGTTCTTGATTTTTTGCACACGCTAAGCCCTTGCTCTTGCTATTTTGCACTCGCTAGGCCCTTGTTCTTGCAATTTTGCACACGCTAGGCCCTTGTTCTTGCAATTTGCACACGCTAGGCCCTTGTTCTTTTTATTTTGCATACGCTAGGCCTTGTTCTTTTTATTTTGCACACGCTAGGCCTTGTTCTTGCTATTTTGCACACGCTATGCCCTTGTTCTTTTCCTTTTGCACACGCTAGGCCCTTGTTCTTGCAATTTTGCACATGCTAGACCCTTGTTCTTTTTATTTTGCACACGCTAGGCCCTTGTTCTTTTTATTTAGCACACGCTAGGCCTTTGTTCTTGCAATTTGCACATTCTAGACCTTGTTTTTTATTTTGCACACAATAGGCCCTTGTTCTTGCAATTTTGCACACGCTAGGCCCTTGTTTTTGCAATTTTGCACACGCTAGGCCCTTGTTCTTGCTATTTTGCACACGCTATGCCCTTGTTCTTTTTATTTTGCACACGCTAGGCCCTTGTTCTTGCAATTTGCACATGCTAGACCCTTGTTCTTTTTATTTTGCACACGCTAGGCCCTTGTTCTTGCTATTTCGCGAACGCTAGGCCTTGTTCTTGATTTTTTGGACACGCTAGGCCCTTGCTCTTGCTATTTTGCAATCGCTAGGCCTTGTTCTTGCAATTTTGTACACGCTAGGCCCTTGTTCTTTTTATTTTGCACACGCTAGGCCTTTGTTCTTTTTATTTTGCACACGCTAGGCCCTTGTTCTTGCAATTTTGCACATGCTATACCCTTTTTCTTTTTATTTTGCACACACTAGGCCCTTGCTCTTGCTATTTCGCGAACGCTGGGCCTTGTTCTTGATTTTTTGCACACGCTAGGCCCTTGCTCTTGCTATTTTGCACTCGCTAGGCCTTGTTCTTGCAATTTTGCACACGCTAGGCCCTTGTTCTTGCTATTTTGCACACGCTATGCCCTTGTTCTTTTATTTTGCACACGCTAGGCCCTTGTTCTTGCAATTTTGCACATGCTAGACCCTTGTTCGTTTATTTTGCACACGCTAGGCCCTTGTTCTTGCTATTTCGCGAATGCTAGGCCCTTGTTCTTGATTTTTGCACCCGCTAAGCCTTGCTCTTGCTATTTTGCACTCGCTAGGCCTTGTTCTTGCAATTTTGCACACGCTAGGCCCTGTTCTTGCAATTTTGCACACGCTAGGCCCTTGTTCTTTTTATTTTGCATACGCTAGGCCCTTGTTCTTTTTATTTTGCACACGCTAGGCCCTTGTTCTTGCTATTTTGCACACGCTATGCCCTTGTTCTTTTCCTTTTGCACACGCTAGGCCCTTGTTCTTGCAATTTTTGCACATGCTAGACCCTTGTTCTTTTTATTTTGCACACGTTAGGCCCTTGTTCTTTTTATTTAGCACACGCTAGGCCTTTGTTCTTGCAATTTTGCACATTCTAGACCTTGTTCTTTTTATTTTGCACACAATAGGCCCTTGTTCTTGCAATTTTGCACACGCTAGGCCCTTGTTTTTGCAATTTTGTACACGCTAGGCCTTGTTCTTTTTATTTTGCACACGCTAGGCCTTGTTCTTTTATTTTGCACATGCTAGGCCCTTGTTCTTTTTATTTTGCACACGCTAGGCCCTTGTTCTTGCTATTTTGCACACGCTATGCCCCTGTTCTTTTCATTTTGCACACGCTAGGCCCTTGTTCTTGCAATTTTGCACATGCTATGCCCTTGTTCTTTTTATTTTGCACACACTAGGCCCTTGCTCTTGCTATTTCGCGAACGCTAGGCCCTTGTTCTTGATTTTTGCACACGCTAAGCCCTTGCTCTTGCTATTTTGCACTCGCTAGGCGCTTGTTCTTGCAATTTTGCACACGCTAGGCCCTTGTTCTTGCAATTTTGCACACGCTAGGCCCTTCTTTTTATTTTCCATGCGCTAGCCCTTGTTCTTTTTATTTTGCACACGCTAGGCCCTTGTTCTTGCTATTCTGCACACGCTATGCCCTTGTTCTTTTCATTTTGCACACGCTAGGCCCTTGTTCTTGCAATTTTGCACATGCTAGACCCTTGTTCTTTTTATTTTGCACACGCTAGGCCCTTGTTCTTTTTATTTTGCATACGCTAGGCCCTTGTTCTTTTTATTTTGCACACGCTAGGCCCTTGTTCTTTTCATTTTGCACACGCTAGGCCCTTGTTCTTGCAATTTTGCACATGCTAGACCCTTGTTCTTTTTATTTTGCACACGCTAGGCCCTTGTTCTTGCTATTTCGAGAACGCTAGGCCCTTGTTCTTGATTTTTTGGACACGCTAGGCCCTTGCTCTTGCTATTTTGCAATCGCTAGGCCCTTGTTCTTGCAATTTTGCACACGCTAGGCCCTTGTTCTTGCAATTTTGCACACGCTAGGCCCTTGTTCTTTTTATTTTGCACACGCTAGGCCTTTGTTCTTTTTATTTTGCACACGCTAGGCCCTTGTTTTTGCTATTTTGCATACGCTATGCCCTAGTTCTTTTTATTTTGCACACGCTAGGCCCTTGTTCTTGCAATTTTGCACATGCTATACCC